AGGGGGAGTCCCCGTGTGTCCCCCCCCCACGCCATCAGCCCGGTCCTGGGGGCACCGGGACCCGCACCGGGGGGGCAGAGCCTCGTCCGAAGGGGAGCCGCACCGGCGGGGCGGGGTGGGAACATGGGGAGAACGGAGTCCCGGGTTTTCCGCCCCCGCCATGAGCACCGGAGAGGCAGAGTCCCGTTCGGGGGGCGTCCCTGTGCTTCACGGGGAACGGGGACCCCGCACCGTCACTGGGGGACAGGCTGAGCACCCCCGCACCGTGCCGATAGCGTCGGTACAGAGGCTGTCCCGGTGTTCGCAGGCAGGGCAGGGGCCGGGACCGGGTGCGGGGAACCCGCGGGTGCTTCCCACGTCCGTCTGTCCCCGTTGTCCGATTGTCCGTCCCTGTTCGGCGCCACGGGACGGGACGGATGCCCCCCGCTCCCCGGCAGGTACCGGCAGTCACCCCGGGAGCACCGGGCGGCACCTGCCGCCCCGACGGCTGCGGGAACTGTTCCAGCGGCACCCCGGGACTGGGGGGATCCCGAGCATCGGGCCGCCGGGCCGCCGTGGGCTGCAGCACCGAGGATGGGGGGAACGGGGGCCCGGGACAGCGGGCAGGGAGTGCGAGGGCCGGAGGGTGCCGGGATGGAGCGGGGGAGGCGAGGGCCGTGGTTGCGCCCCGCCGCTGGTGGCACAGCCCCGGGCAGGGCCCTCCCAGCCGCGCCCCGGGGCCTCCCCGCGGCCGCTGACCTCAGCCCCGGGAGCCCCGACGGGGCGGAGGCCCGAGGGCGTGGACACGGCCCGGCCCGGCCGGGAACCGGGGCGGGGGAGGCGGGAGCGCCGTGCTGGAGCAGTCCCCGGGTCGGCCCTGGGTTCCTCCCGGGCCGGGGGAAGGGGTGCGGGTGGGTGCCGGTGCGAGCCCCCCACCCCCGCCGCCGTCCCGAGCTTTGTCCGTCCTTGAATTAAAGTGGTGAGCGGCGGCCCCGGGCCGTGACGGGCCAGCGGGGCTAATCCGGCCCCGCATGACTGGTCCGGGGAAACCGCGGCGGGGGGATTACCCCCCCCGGTTCCCGCCCCAACGGGGGACTCAGCTCAAGCCCCCCGGCCCGTCGGGCCCCGCATTGGGGACTTCACTCCCACCCACAACCGGCCCGGGCGGGAGATGGCGGGGACAGTCTTGTCCCAGCCGAGACCGGGCCAGCACCAGCCCTGCGTGCCCGTGTTCTGCCCGTGGGCATGTCAGGCCGCCCCCCGCCAGCGTCCGAGCACCCCCTGCCCTTCCTTCTATCCTCCGTCCCTCAATCCCTCCACCCCCCGGTCCATCCCTACCTCCGACACCTGGTACCGGCCCAGACTGGGCGCTCCGGTGCAGGGGGAGCCGTGCGGGGCAGTGCCGTGCCCACGCGGGTTGTAGACACCGTGGGTGTCCACGGGGGTCCGGGGTGCCGCCGGGACAGCCCGGGACAACCCGGGCTCTAGCGGCTGGAGGAGGCTGTCGCCCCGTCCCGCCAGGCACGGACTAGGACGGGAGAGGGCTCCGTGGGCTCCGGAGGGGCCCCCGGTAGCCTCGACGGTCCACGAGCCTGGGGATCGCACGTCGCGACACTAGGACGGTGCCCCCGAGCTTTCCCGGGACTGTTGTCCCCGTGCGCCCTGGGTTGTCACGGAGCTCTGCCTCCCCCGTGCGCCCGGGACTGTCCCGGGATATCCCGTCACTCCTGCCCCTGTGCACCCCGGGCTGTCCCGGGATATCCCGGGCTACCCCCGTTCCCCGCTCCCTCCGTGCGCCCGGAGCCGTCCGGGGCCGTCCCAGGTTATTCCGGGACCAGCTCCTCCTTGTGCCGGGAGCTGTCCCGGGCCGTGCCGGTCTCGCCCCGCCGGTGCCGGTGCCGGTGCCTGTAGAACGTGTGCGCGGGACTGCGGGGAAGGCGGGGGGCGGCAGCCGGGAGCTCTGGGCACGGGGCCGGGGCGCAGCCACCCGCCGGGCTAATCCGGGCCGTGACGGACAGCCCCGGCGCCGCCGCTCCCGCCGCCCCGTAAGAGATGCCGCAGCTCCGCCGCTCCCCATTGTTAGGGCGAGGACGCGGGGAGGCCCCGCGCGGCGGGACCGGCCCACGGGGACCCTCCGCGCCGCCCCTATAAGAGGGAAGGGGCTGGAAGATGCTCCCGGGTGCTGAGCGCTGTGCACCCGCCGCGCCGAGCCGAGTCCAGCCGTGCCGGCTCCCCGGGGAGCTGCCGGTACCGACCACCGGCACTGGGTATCGCGCACGGACCGCCGAGAACCAGCAGCGGTACCGACACCGGGTACCGCGCACAGAGTGCCGAGCACCGGGTCCTCAGAAGCGGCACCGCCAACGGAGCGCCCGAAGCCGCGCTCCAGGGCCCGGTCAGTGTGCGCTGGGCACCGCACCCCCGACGCCGCGCCCCGGCCACCGGCTGCAGCCCGGTGGCGGCGGCGGTGCCGGCCCCCCGCCCGCCCGCCCGGCGCTCCCCGCGTCCCCCCGCGGCCGTCCTCATCTCGGAGCCGCCCCGCGCGTCCGGAAACACGCGTGGATGTAGCGGCCGGGCCGGGGGCTCTGCGGCACCATAAATACCGGGACGGCCGCTCGCCCGCGCACTCTGCCGGGGCTCCCGGGGCCGGAGCCATGCGCGCCGCCGCGCTGGGGCTGGCGCTCCGGGCACTCTGGGCTCTGGCCCTCTCCTCCCTCTCCAACACGCTGGCAGTGAACAACAGCGGGCGGTGGTGGTGAGTCGGACAGCACCGGCACCGGCACCGGTACCGGCACCGGGGTGGTGAGGCGGGAGGGCGGGGCTGGCACAGGCACAGCGGGGGCTGCCCTGTACGCAGGGATGGGGCGTGTGGGGGGACACAGGGCTGCGACCCCCGTTTGGGATCCCTACAGGGGATGCTGCGGTCGCACCGAGGAGCCTGCAGGGAGGTTGAGGTGAGGAGGGAGGCGCTGGGGACCCCCCGCTGGTGGTGACCATCCCCACCTGTGCCACAGGGGCATCATCAACGTGGCCTCGTCCACCAACCTGCTGACAGACTCCAAGAACGTGCAGCTGGTGCTGGACCCCAGCCTGCAGCTGCTGAGCCGAAAGCAGCGCAAGCTGATCCGGCAGAACCCCGGCATCCTGCACAGCGTCAGCTCCGGCCTCCAGACTGCCATCAAGGAGTGCAAGTGGCAGTTCCGCAACCGCCGCTGGAACTGTCCCACCTCCCAGGGCCCCAACATCTTCGGCAAAATCGTCAACCGGGGTGAGGCTGGGGGTCAACACGGGGGTCCCCAAACCTTCTCCATGCACCCCCAAGTTGGGACGCTCATCAAAGCGCCCCTGGTTTGTTACAGGGCATCACCAGCCCATTGTGATGGAGGGTTGGGGGTGCCAGCGGGTACCCCCTCCCCATCCTGGCAGCCCCCTGAGGCCCCGCTCCCTCCACAGGCTGCCGGGAGACAGCGTTCATCTTTGCCATCACCAGTGCCGGCGTGACACACTCGGTGGCCCGGTCATGCTCGGAGGGGTCCATCGAGTCCTGCACCTGTGACTACCGGCGCCGTGGCCCTGGTGGCCCTGACTGGCACTGGGGGGGCTGCAGTGACAACATCGACTTCGGTCGCCTCTTTGGGAGGGAGTTTGTGGACTCCAGTGAGAAGGGCCGAGACCTGCGTTTCCTCATGAACCTGCACAACAACGAGGCCGGGCGCATGGTGAGGGCACTGGGGGCTTGGTGAGGGCACTGGGGGGTGGGCACAGAGATGAGCAGGCCCACCAAGACCTTCAGCCTGTTCCCATGTGTGTGTTGGGAACAGTTGGAGATGGGTTTCACACTTGTCTTTGGGACAAGTGGTGCCCAGGTGATGTGACACTGCAGAAACGAGGGGTGTAGGAGCACGGTGGTCCCCAGGGGGGTCCCAGGCTCCTCACAAGGCCCTAAATTCCCCTTTCCTTCCAGACGGTCTTCTCGGAGATGCGCCAGGAGTGCAAGTGCCACGGCATGTCGGGCTCCTGCACCGTCCGCACCTGCTGGATGCGCCTGCCCACCTTCCGTGCCGTGGGCGACGTCCTGAAGGATCGCTTTGACGGCGCTTCCCGCGTCATCTACGGCAACAAGGGCAGCAACCGGGCGTCGCGGGTGGAGCTGCATCACTTGGAGCCCGAGAACCCGGCCCACAAGCCCCCCTCGCCCCACGACCTCGTCTACTTCGAGAAATCCCCCAATTTCTGCACCTACAGTGGGAAGATGGGCACGGCGGGCACGGCCGGGAGGTTCTGCAACAGCTCCTCGCCGGGGCTGGACGGGTGCGAGCTGCTGTGCTGCGGGCGCGGGTACCGCACGCGCACCCAGCGCGTCACCGAGCGCTGCAACTGCACCTTCCACTGGTGCTGCCACGTCAGCTGCCTCAACTGCACCAACACCCAGGTGCTGCACGAGTGCCTGTGACCTGCCCCGGGACCACCCTGCCCAGCCCCGGAGGGGGTCTGCGCCACACACCCCCCATGACGGGTGCCCGGCTGGATTGAAGGCACCTATGGGTGGGGGTATGGATGTGTCCTAGGGACCCCCATCCTGCCATGGGTGGGCTCAGTGCCAAGCACCTTCCCGGCCACTCCCCGGCTCCACGGGGTCACTTCTTGCTGTAAATAAAATATTTATTGTGGACGGTTTGGTGCTGCCGCCCCCACCCTGCTTCGCTGGCCCCAGGCCCTGTTTTTTATAATTAAAGATAATAATAATTAATAATAATTAATAATAATGATGCTTTGTTACAGGTGTCATTGATAGCCTTTAGAGAAGAATAAAGAATATATTTTTATCAGTCCTGCCCTGATTTATGTTTGGGGGGGCTGGGGGAAGGAGGGATGAGCTGTTGGGGGGACACCAATGTATCCCAAACTGTGGGATGTGCTGTCCACATCCATCTGTCCATCCATCACTTCTGCATCCCCTCACTTCCCCATTCCACATCCATCAGCCTCTCCGGCTGCTGTCTGTCCATCTTTCTCCTCCTTCCCTCCACTCTCTGCCATCCCCTCCCCGCAGACCCCCTTCCTTCTCCCGCTGTGCCCGTCTCCATCCCAGCCATTCCTGCCGCCGCTCCCGGCCGGGACGTCCATCCCCACGGCTGCGGCGCCCATCACCATGGCACCTTGACTGCAGCATCTCCGATGCTGGAATTTGCCGGGGCGGTCGGGCTGGTGCCGCCGAGGCCGGGAGTTGGGAGCGGCCCCGGGAGGTACAAGACGACAGACAGGGAATGAGCATCGTCCATCACCGCTACCGGCCGGGGCTGACGGCTCCCCTCGGCTCCGGGGGAAAAGCAGGGCCGGGGGAGGGCACCGGGGTTACCGGGGCAGGGGCCAGAGGGGACAGAGATGGCCACTGGCCCCACAAACAGCCCTACATCCGTGTGTGACCACAAGAGAAACGCTGTGGCAAAGGGGGGATGCAGCTCCGTGGCTGGCAGGTGTTCTGCTGGCGTGGAAATCCTCCTGGGATGGGCATCTCTCTGGGACAGGCTTTCCTCAGGATGGGAATCCCTCTGGAATGGGCATCCCGTCACAATGGGCATCCTCTTGGGACAGTCCTCCCACTGGAGTGGGCACCCCACCGGGATGGGAATTCAGCATGCAGGACATGCCTCGAGATGGGTTTTTCCCCGGGATAAGCATCCCAAAGGGGTGGGCATATGCCCAGAAGGGGCATCCTTAGGAAGGGCATCCTTCTGGGACAGGCATCCCCCTGTGATGGGCACCCCTGCGGAGGGCACAGGGTGCACACATTCCCCCTGCACCGTGACTTCACACCTGGGGACATCAAAACCTCCCTCTCCGTGTCTGGGGGACCCCCAGCCTGGTGCCCACCTGTCCCGGGGGACCCCCAGCCCGGGCTCCCCCCCCAGAGCCGGGAAGCTCTCGGGGCCCCTGAGGCTGTGCCGCATCAAAGGCTGCGGGATGACGCTGCCACCACCCAAAATATCCCGCGGAGCCGATAGTGGAAAAGTTGATGTTTAGACTCAAAGGAGGGGGGGAAAAACACCCTGGGGGCCCCCGCTGCCCGCGCCAAGGTCAAAACACAGCCCAGCGTGGAGAATAAAATACCAAAAGGCAAGGAAAACGCCTGGAAAGGAACACAGCCCGAAATAACCCTCCGAGCATCTCCCGCCTGCCGGGTTATCTGCCTGCTAAATTCTGCTCCTGCTTCAGCATGAAAATAGCCTGTTTTCCTGCGGTAGGAGTCAGGAATATAGATAATGACATTCTTATAAGTCACCTCTGTTACTCAGCTTTTCCTGTGTGTCCTGCTGGGCACCTCGGGCAGCCGCGACCCCCGGGTGGGCAGGGGCAACCTGGGCACCGGGCACAGACCTCCCCGGCTTGGACAAATATTCCTGGGTGCTGGAAATAGCTGCTGTGGGCCAGAGCAGGGCCAGGGAGAGGGCGGTGCCATCCTGCAGCAGGCTGTCACATCTGAGAACAGCTGGATGGTGGCCACAAGCTGGGTCTGCTGAGGGATGGGACAACCCCAACCCTGTTCAAGGATGGGGTGCAGGGGGCTCTGCCTGGGGGCGTGGGGCAGACAGACAGGATGACACACGGAAGTGCAGGACAGAGGGACAAGGCTGCTTCCAGGACAGAGGAAAGATGTAATTCCCAGAAATGTGGGACACTGGGACAGGAAAGTGCCCAGTGGTGCAGGACAGAGAGACACAGCCATGCCCAGGGGTGCAGGACAGTGGGATGGTGACATTCCCCGAAGTGCAGGACAGAAAAACAGGACAATGCCAGAAGTTTCTGGACAGAGGGACAGGATGACACAGAGAGATGCAGAACAGAGCCATGCCTAGAAGTGTGGGACAGAGGGATGGTGTCATTCCCAGAATCCAGACATAG